CCTTCTATTCATGACAGGTGATATTGGTTTCCATTAAAGTAATGATATATAGTTTTTAAAAAGTAGATTTAAGTAAAGCCACTGAATTAAAGAATATTCAATTAAAAACATACAAATGGTACTTGGATATGGCAAATATCATCCAAGTTTATAATTTAATAGGCAGAAAAACTGAGACCCAGGCAGGAGTCCCCACAGTCCAGAATGGCGTGTCAAACATTTAGGAAGAACACAGACAGCTGTCTGCCCTGAAATCCAGACAGTCACAGGCTAGGGACGTTCCCATCTTTAAATTTAGAACCTCATTAACAAGAGTGCTTTTGTGGTTGGTGTTTTTACTATTTTCATTTTAGCTGAGAAAAGTAAGAACTTCTCACATTACTGATTTTCCCCTTTAAATTTGCGGCAGAAATCTGACCATTTTTTAGAAGCAAAAGGNTGCGGTGAAGGGACAGGTGGCAGATCCTGGTTAGTGAGGGGCAGGCGCTTGAGCCCGGGGGCCTCATGCCTCCAGTCCCCACCGTGTCTGACCCCACCAAGGCCTGTCTGCTCTGCCCAGGGACCCCTCGGGTGTGAACTTAGGGAATTGCAGAAGCCGGGGGCGGGACTCCTGCACCCGTATCCGGGAGACATTCCCACAGCATCTGCTTCCTCTGGATCTGAACAGGAGTCAGAGCTGAGGTCAGGCCTCTCGGCACATGGGCCTGGCAGGGCTCCCGTGGGGTTCTTCCATGTAACCACTCCAGCCCAGAGGAAACTCAGGGATTTGGATATCATGAGATAGATGGCAAAAGAAACAACTCACTCCTTAGGTCTGGGGGTAAAGTTTTTCCTTAAACTTGCTGCCATGAGGTGGCCAAAGTGTGCTATCAGCGCATCCTGCCTGTATTTCTATCCACACCAAGAAAGTCCTGGGCAAGAGGTAAAGGGGAACTGTCATGCACATGGCATCTGCCCTCCGTAGCAATGCAGCAAAGGTGGGGACAGAGTCAGGGAGACCCAAGTGTCAGGACAACTGGAAAATGTAGGCTTTATGTATTGTACTGGTGCAGGGAGCGAGCCATTCAGCAGTTATATGACGATGTTTCCACCTCAAAGCAAACTGCACACTAGAATCACCTGGGGAGATTTTTTTTTAAGTGTGCCTGGTGTGTGGCCTAGTCATCTGCATTTTTAAGGCATTCCCCAGATGTTTCCAGGGATCAGCCAGGATTGGAAACAGCAGCTCAACAATGAGTTGTGAGTCAGCTCATCTGTACTTCCTTGGGCTTTTCCCTCATGACTGCAAGGTGGCTGCAGCTGCCCCAACCATATACCTCATCCCCCTGTGGCAATGTCCATGCTCAATTCTTTCTCTAGCACCCCTTTTTGGAGCAAGATAACTTTCCCAGAAGCCCGCCAGCAGACTTCCCATAATATTACATACACCCACACTATCTCTGGCAAGGGAATGGGATTACCAAATTTGAGTTTAAACCTGCACCACCCTTGACTGCACTTTAGAGTCACCTGGAAGCTTCTGAAAAAAATACCACTGTACAGGTACCACCCCAGACATTCTGATTTAATTGATCTGAAAGGGGCCCAGACAGCTATTTTTGCCTGTTTTCTTAATTTATTATTGAAGTCTATCACTCATACAGAAAAGCACATATGTCCCAAATGTACAGCTCCACGGATTTTCACAAGTTAAATGCACCATGGGAGCCAGCACACGGATCAAGAAACAGAAGTTTGCTAGCCTCCTCATAGCCCCCTCGTGTCCCCCTCCAGGCCTATCCCACACCAAAAGCATTGCTTCGCCAGGCACTCGTTGCACCTGCTTTTCCCATGTGCAGCTGGGAGAGAACCACCTTCCCAGACACCTGCACTCCGGCCTTCCCCAGCGTATCTGCACAGCTGCCCCGCCAGGGCTAGGCCAATCAGAGGCTCCCTCCCGGGCCTTGCGGGGGGGGTCGGTGAGAAGAGGGTGGGCGGGCACCGAGTGCATGGCTCAGCGGGCACCTGGGAGCAGGGGAGGCCGGG